CCCCAAAACCCCAAAACCCCAAAACCCCAAAACCCCAAAACCCCATTACAATGACGTGCAGTTGACAGGTTGTATTAAATATTTTACAAAGAATAAATGAATCAAAATATATGAAAATATGAAATTTCATATGAATTTTGGAAACCATGAATATTTAGACTGCCATAGACTCTGACATGTAGTGATCTTGCTCACTAGAATAAGACTGAGGGTCAGAGGAGCTATTTTCTTTAGGTTTCTGCTTATATTCTTTCTTAGTCATGAGTTTGAACTGACTTGGAGCTCTTTGGTGAGGCTTTAGAGGTGGCATTCTTCCGTCAAACTCCTTCTCGTCTGAGGTAAAACTTTCATTCACGATTTGTTGCAAGGAGTTGGTGATACATACGTAGATGAATCCATTTCAGCCAAAATCGATATGATTTCCTGAGAAGTAATCGATAATGGCGAGATCAACTACGATTTTTATTGATATTTTGATTTAATTATGATATAACCCATGAGTTTCTCCATGTTATCAGCATCGATCCTTTTATCATCATGATCCATGGGAACTCCTTGCCAGTAGTCGTCTATTTCTTGCTTGATCTGGTCAGTCACCTTGACCAATAGCTGAATCTTAGAAGTTGGATTCTCAATATCCTTTAGTTTACGGATCATTCTGCTTCATTTTTCATACTTTATATTTGATTTAGTCTCGTTTAGTTGAAACCCAGTTTCCTGATTGAAATTATCTGGGATCTCAGATTTTCTATGAAGGATCCTATCTATCCGTTTGGACTGGCTGAAGGAAAATATATCGGACATGCCAACAATATATTCGCTCTTGTTAAAGTCAACATTCTCTTCCTTGTTCATCTTCCGCTCGAGGATATCGACTTCCTCTCTTTTACAATAGGTTATCGCATTTGAGATTGTCAGGTGAAGATTCTTTTTAATGACCATCCCAGTAAGAATCTCTAGTAAAATATCTCGGTTGTTCTCGTTGTCTTTCAGAGTCAGGTGGTAGAACTTTATAGTGGTCAGGAAGAGCAGGGCAATGAACTGCTGTGTGGTCTCTATCAGTTCATCTCTCTTCGCAATGTGGTCAACCTCGTCCAGGGTTGGATATCGCAGGTAATTATATGATTTACAAATCCATTTATCAAATTGCTCCACAAGCTGGTGTAATGGGTGGTCTTTCATCTTGAGTTGCTCTTTCAGAAATTTAAACCTGAGATAATTGGAAGGAGTCGTATCGATACCTTTCCACTGGGAAGTATTTCTCTCCTTCTGAGACCTTGGTTTCTTACTGTCTTGACCATAAAGAGATATGAGTTTACCACGCTCTTCCATGAACTTCTCTGCATTTTTACATAGATATCAATTTATGACTTTGGTCCATCTGAATTTCTCCTTAAAATGTAGGTTGAGGGCATTGAGCTTTCTATAAACGAAGAGGATCCAGTCTCTCTCGAATGTACCAGCCTTCTCTAATTTTTTAAGGAGTTTTCCTTTATCCATGAGGGCATCCTGATTGCGAGTCTGACATGTTCCGAATGTGAACTTTTTTCTGAAGAGACTCTTCTTTTCATACCAAAGTTCGTCCCGATTTAAAAGTGCTATCATTGACTTCTTAGGGAGATCTGAAGCCACTGGATGAACATTTAGGTCCAGAAAATCGTCGAGATTTCTGATCTTCTTTGAGCTTTTATGCCTCTTTAATTTTGGTCGTAGGTCGTCAGGAGTTGTCATCTTTCTTCAAGAATTATTTCCCATTTAGAATTTACTATAGTCCTAGTTATTAGTGAAAATGGGAATGAAAGTATGATATTAGTTATGAGAGAGTAACCTAATTAATTCAGGACTTTCGCTATTTTTGGAACACAAACTAGCCTTCTTAGCTTCAGGTAGCCTAACTCGTGGTTTCGATAGTTTTTATTGCACCAAATTTAGAGATTACGAAGAGTCTAACGTTCGTAAGGATACACAGTTAATCGTAGGTGACATTTATGCCCATGTTATGATGCTTACCTTGTAAAAATAATTATTACGACCCAACTTGAATATTATATAATGGGGTTTTGGGGTTTTGGGGTTTTGGGGTTTTGGGG